ACTACGACGACTACTACTACTACTACTACTACTACTACTACTACTACTACTAGTGCTACTACTACTACTACGACGACTACTACCACCACTACTACTACTACTACTACGACGACGACTACGACTACGACTACGTCTACGACTACGACGGCTTCTTCTTCTTCTACTACTACTACTGCTACTGCTACTACTACTACTACTACTACTACTACTACTGCTACTACTGCTACAACTACTCCCGTTGTACCTACGGCAACTCCGGATCCGGCTCCTATTCCTACTGCCGCACTGCCGCTACTGCTATGCCTGCAACTGCCATCACCGCCACCACTACGACGACGGCGACGACGACTACTACAACTGCTTCTACAGTGCCCCGGGAATTTAGAACAATTATTTTGGCAAGATTGCCACGCAATCTTGCAATCTTGGTCTCGCCGACTAGTTTACCTCTTGGACCAAGATTGCGACCAAGATTGCCAAGCAATCTCGCCATCTTGTCGGGGGGTTGCAAGATTGCAAGCAACCTTGCGATCTTGGTCTCCACAAGATAATAAACTAGTCGGCGAGCAAGTGGGGCAGGGGCAAGACGAGCAAGAATGCCAAGATTGCTTGGCAATCTTGCTCCCCCGGCCTGACCAAGATGACTAAGATTGCCAAGACGGTTCCGCAAAATGATAGTTCCAAGTTCCCGGAACAACGTACTACTACTACTACTACTACTACTACTACTACAGCAAAACCCACAACGGCCACAGCAACGACATCAACAACAGCTACTACTACTAACTACTACCACCACCACCACCACCACCACCACTACTACCACTACTACCACTACTACCACTACTACCACTACTGCCACGACTACCACTACTACCACTACTACCACCACCACCACCACCACCACCACCACCACCACCACCACCACCACTGCTACTACCCCTGCTTCTTCTTCGAAGTCTGTCTACTGCCTGTACAGCCAGAGCTACAGAAAGAACTACACCCACCGCTATTTCTAGTGCTAGTGCTGCTGTTAAATCTTGTTAAAACGTTCAGAGAGACCGGCAGGAACAGTCGTCGGAGCGACACATGCCTCGATGATTCCAACGGAATGACGCGTAGAAGTGCTCCTTCGCAATAAGCTCTTGTCCAACAGACCGCAGTGGTAAGCTCGAAATCAAAATCAGCAGATGCAGTACACATGGAATGCAACTGGGCATCTAGAGTAGTAGTTCATGCCACTTCAGAGGGTAGAGCAGGCCAGGGTCTTGCAACATGAGGTTCATGACAATGACACATGTACGGCAATTTGTGGCTGGAAAGTGTTGATGGTGCTGGACTGGGGGTCCAGAGTACTCTTCGTAAGTCAGGAGCATGTCGATTGCAACCGATGGGCCTCCGCCAATAAATGACACCGCCAATAGTCGCCACCACGGCCAGCACGAGAATGCCAGCCGCGATACATAGTCTCGATTTCTTGATCCCGTCCTGAGCTCTACAGGTTATGGCACGCTTCTGCGCACTCGGAAACCCATATCTTCATAAACCCCGCGCTTTGAACAAAGCTTTCAAAGTGTTCAGTTCAAGCAGCAGCATCAGCACACCTGGTGCAAAGATTGTGCTTTCTTCGAAATCCATCACCGCAGGTGCTGCACAGCGGCCCAGAATAGCCTGATATTCTGCTGGAAATGTCAAATTGTACGGATATCGAAGAGAAGGCTTAAGACGACAGGGAACCTCCGGCTGATTGTACACTCCAGCGTAAACGTACTTGTGGTGTCCTTTGACAATACTAGGTTAGTCAGTAGTACAGTCGGTGTCATCTGCTACTACTACCTCATCACTACTAATCACTACTAGTACATACTACTACATGCTCCTACTACGACGACGACGACGACGACGACGACTACTACTACTACTACTACCTACTACCTACTACCTACTACCTACTACCTACTACCTACTACCTACTACCTACTACCGAC